TGGAAATTCGCAAGTTGTAGGTGAGGAAAATTTAAAACATATAGTGAATAACTCTGAGACTGATAATACAAAACAATTACTAGTGTCGTTTACTAATTATTGAATTAGAAATTCAAATAATGAGTACACGACAATTATAATTGTCGTGTACTCATTATTTGAATTTCTAATTCAATAATTAGTAAACGACACTAGGATATTTGTGAATATTTTTCGGGAATAATTACCACATACCATTTCATGGTTGAGTTCGACCTTTCCACTCGGCGAGCAGAGTTTTGACGCTGTTTACGCGATTACGGAGACTAAAGAAAATATAGACAAGCATACCATGTAAGATTGTATCTATTCTTAGAAGACATTTATATTTTGTCAGTGCATTTCGTCTGCAAGTGTAAACGAGACTCAGAGCGATTCTCAATCTGGGGGAGGGGGTACTCTGTGTTATTCGGAGATAGATATCTTGCGTCATTATTATGATATGAAAAATTTATTGCCAAAACAATTTCCTCTGAGTAATATTCAATGAATTCTGAACCATTTACATTCAACTTATTTATGGTTAATACTATCTCTGTAAATAATAGGATGATATACATTGCACTAATAAATTTGGGAAATTATTATTTATATAATATAATAAATATGGACTCAATGCACGGTCAATATGCATTTATAATGACCCAGGATGACAGATATTGACCTCAAATACATGAAGTATATCGACCGAGGGCTAGCGCCCTCGGTCGATATACTACATGTATCTTCGGTCAATATCTGTCATCCTGGGTCATTATAAATGCATATTGACCTACATTGAGTCCATATTTGTATAATAACTTTTATGATATGATGCATGTACATGCATACGTATTTAAAAAAACAACAACACTTTTTAGGTCGATGAAATGTGTTGAAACGTTAGCTAGTAAAGGGTGTCAAACTCCTAATGCATTCAAAAGAAGATTTCTGAAAGCGGTTTTGATATATCACTTGATTGTAAGTCAGTTCAATACACTGCATTATTGATTAACATACAATACTTTTGAAAATATTTGTATCACACACAGACACACACTGACCCTTAATTACCACCAGGGAATGAATATACAAAATACCTGAAGCTTCAGCAACAAAGATCCTGCAGAAGGAGGTTCAGTGTATTTATTTATTAAAAAAACATTTCGTCCGTGTTTAGTCACCCGCGTGGCGTAGTTGGTTGGAGCGTCTGCTCTAGAGTCGCGAAGTAAGGAGTCAATCCTTTAAAAGTCGTGGGTTCGAATCCCACTGCGGAACATGGAGACCTGTCCTTCGGAGGAGACCGTATAAAACAAGGTCTCAAGTCACAGTAGGTGCTGGCACGGAAAGGATCCCTCCCTGATCTATAGCCCTTAGTGCCAAGTATAGGACAAAATTTGTAGCTCTCCATTGGTAAGTGGTGGCGTCTCCGTATGATTTAAAAATTCTCCAGAGAGACGTTAGAAATATACATGTAGAATCAATCAATCTGTACAATGTCATGTAATCTAACTTAATAAAGTAGTTTTTATTTTAGTTTTTACTTTAGATTGAAGAAGCTACTTCTTTATACAATGCAAGAAAACCATTTCATTTAATTATTAAGTAAATAATAAATTTCAAACCAGGGCTGTATCATTTAAAAGGGGTGGTGAAATATAAAGCAGTTATCAATTTCAAAAACATATAACATGTATAAATAATACAAATACTTGTATTCGAAAGGGGCATATCAATTTGCGCCCTGGAAGTTCCGGAGGTAGGTCTGGTATCTAGGATTAGTGAATATCCACTGTAGGTCATTTATACCCGCCGTGAAAACAAAGGTCTAACCATTAGTAAGATACACCTCAGCCAAAAAAAACCCCGACACAATAATAGGTTACTAGTATATTAACTTTGTTATCAAGGTCATTTCAACCGACCCTAGATTTTACAAAAATGCTTATCCTAAGCTAAGAATGCATATAAAACATAAATTATTATCCTAAGCTAAAAATGCATATAAAACATAAATAAATAAGACTCACGGCAAATAGTTCATTAAGTGTACCTTTGTTTTTTAAACATAATGCTCTAATATATTCTCTCAATCCGTTTTGAAGCGTCAATCTGAATTCAAAAGTAAGGCGGTGTTACTCTTTATTTCCTTGCAATTGATCCATACAGATGAGAGATTTGTGCAATAAAATTAGGAATGTTTGTTTTTTCTCTTTTTACAGAAGCCTGTTTCCAAAAATGCCTTTTACAAAATTGCCACTATCACTTTCTGTAAGATGTTTTGATTTTCTGTAAATTATATAATTTTCATTCTCCCTTTGAGGATTACGTTGGGTGAAAAAAAAACTAGCAAGTATTCTAAACTATAGAAACTCTCAATTATTTAAAAGAAGTTTTAATCCAGCTTTTGACGTTTTAACATTTCAAATGTATTGGGAATTTTGAGATTTACATAAATCCTCTATTGATAAAATCCTGGGTAAATATAAAATGAAAAAAAAATTCTGAACTTTGTCATTTTTCTTTCTTATTATACAATAACTACCATACAAGTTTTCTTTCCTCTGTCCTAGGATATCATTTTTTCATCCTTATTTTCACTTTTCTTTAAAGAACAGGTTTGCAAACTTAACCTTTCTTATAATCAGCAATGCATTTGACCATATCTATATGCGGAATGATTACATCACATGTATGTTATTCATTTGTTTCAACTTCACAATTTACTAGTCCTAGTAAATTTATTATAAAGTATTTATTTACATTGACATTAGATTTTATCTTCAGGTAAGATCTTCAATCATCTTTTTACTTAGTATGTTTTAAGTTTTTTTCTCAAATAAACAATCAGAAGAATAATCGATTCTATCGTCTCGCAAAATGGTTCAGTAAATTTGTCAGGAAAAAAGGATTAATGATTGAGAGAAAATAGATATCTGTACAATTAGCGAAAAACAAGATGTGTTGGTGAAACACTATGCTCACGGCGGCAACAAAGTTCGAAAAAGCTTTTTTAGCATATATGTCACAGCTAAGGTAACAAGGTCATTGACCTTGGTGTCATTTGAAATAACTTAATAAGAGGAGTATGCATACCAAATATGATGTGTTTATCTCTTATGGGTCAAAAGTTATAGCGAAGCTAAAATGTAACAACAGACAGACGGACTAAAAGATAAACAGATGAACAGACAAATAGACAGAAAACAGACAGACAAAATTGATATAAAAATAGCAGTATAAGAATAACAAGTTTGGCTTTCCAGAAAGCCTGAAATGTCATCTCTTTGGCTTCATTAATGTCACAGAATAAACAGTGGATTGTGACTTCTTTTTTTCTAAGTATTGGAGATTTTCAGTCTTCTAGGCAAGGGGGAGTGGCAGCTTACCTGTCGTGAACAATTTTAGATAAGGAAAAAGGGTTGAGATCAAACTACAAATCCTATGTTGTGGAAGAGAGGGGAATATTTAAACTCTTTTATTTTTTCGAAAAACAAATTCATTTTGTTAGTACTTGACTATACTCAAACAAAAAGTGTGGATAAGGGAGGGGCTGGCAGTGAACAATTACAGCAGTACATAGCTAAAAGGGCTGGTAAACATGTAGATTTGTAGATCTGGCAAGGGATTGGGATTTTGCATTGAAGGCTTGACATACGTGTTCTTTGCCCGATTAATCCGACTTCAAACCATACATGTTACTATTCCGTATTGAAATTTATTCAGTATAAAAATTTCATATCGATAAACTTATTTAATGTTTTCAAATAAATTAATTATAATATTTCTACAAAACACTTATATATGTACACGTGCCGCCAAATGAGTTGTAATTTACAAATACTCATTTTACTGGAATGAAGCGTTAATTTCTAAACGTTTTCGAAATTAAACTCAAAATATAATTCTTCTCTATTTATTTCCACGTAATATAAGATAAACAAGATTTACTGACTATAGAAAATATTGACCAACAAACGATAAACGGCATGACAAACATAATGAATTCAGCATATGAATTTTCAATTAATTTTTTAATGTATTGATTAATATTACATCACCTGTATATGTTGTTATGTCCACAAATTAATTTTGATGCGCAAGAATAAGTTTTTAGTGTAATAAACTTTTAAATGCAAAGTACTGACAGAAAGATTGATGTTACATGTAGTAGTACAAGTTTTTTCCTTCGAAATCTGTGGTGGATATAATGACCTTGTTGGTATACACAACCTATTATTGGGTCGCATTTTCTCTGATATGTTTCATACCATTCGTTACAAGTAGGTCTTTGCTTTGGTGTCAAAATGGACCCCGGAGAGCTCTGTCTACCTACGAAATACAGGAATCAGACTGAAGCGGCTAATGATGCTTACTTCTCCCAGATACCTCATGTATCCAGGGGTCGGTGTTTTACCCTGTTTACGATTCTTTTTGTGTATTGTATTTATGAGTTTTTAAACAATTTTTTTTTACATCTTTACACATGCATGCTGTAATTGTGATTAGATTCAATTCGGGTTATGATAAAAGAGTCATTCTGGTAAGTTCGATCTCTTCGTAATGATTACGTTCATCATTTCCTTCTCTTGGAAGTCGGGTACAAATTGACATTTTTAGAATATCAGATATACGAATTAAGATGTAAATCATCAAAAGGAAAAATACTAAAATCAAAAGAGTAAAAATACATAAAACTAATGGGTTGTCTATTAAGGCAATTGATGATTTGGAACCTTGTCCTATTCCTTTTGATGAATTACTAGACGTGTTGGGCGATGTATATACAGTAGTCATAAACTGTTGTCCGGAAGAAGTTAACCCATTGGAAGATGTGTTTTTTTCTGTTGCCACCTTTTGAATGTTTGTTGTTCCTGATAAAAAAAATAAAGGTATTACATGTATTTTGACGATGTCTTAACATCAGTGAGAGTTGATAAAAGCAATATGTTTGTACATGCTGAATAAATTAAAATGGAAACCTGTTCCTATTGATGCAAATGTACAACCGTAATACCGATTGCATTCGGACGTAGTGCAATTACACACATAGATACAATCTGGCCCATAATATGGATACAGGCAATCTGTAAAAAAAGAATAAGACTTTGAAAGCACAGATGTTTTACTAGTGGTAAATTCCAGGAGAGGGAGTAATTACTAGTAATTTGTAAATGTGTAACTGCCTTGGGGGCTAGCAGTATACCTGTAGTCATTTGTCATAGTCATCTCTACACACATCAAGTTATTTGATACACAGTGAAATACCCTACATCTCAATGGATTATGTGACATTGCTGCTATCAGGGGTCCTTTTCCCTCCACGAATTATATTTTAAATACAACGATCTTGATAGTTTTCAAACATAAGTGAATAAATACGACACCTTTTGAATAGTTTCAATACACGTAGTTCCGACACATTTTAATTATAAGGAATACTGCATTATCTATGATTTTAGACCCTATAACGGCAAAATTCGCCCTGGTTTGTGAAAGAGAACAGGTAAGTCTTAGTACAATATGGATATGTATGTTCGACTAGTCTACCTTATATGGCAATGTTATTATTTCGCAAAAAGATGTATTCTCTTACCGAAAATAATTGTCTAATCCGATGAGAGAACGACAAAACATCAATATTATTCAATACAGTAATAGATATAATCAATCAACAACCAACAATACATTCATGTATATTGCAGATAATAAAATGAAACTTTACCAACGCATGTTTTTGTCTGGTTGTCCCACGTGTAACCTCTACAGCACATCAATTCTCTGAAAATGCAAAATTAAGCATGGATACGCGGGTACCTGTTAAGTGCGAAACGAAATAGAAACAAAAGGAAACGAACTGAAACGAAACGAAATCTGCCGAAACGAAACGAAATCTACGAAAGCGAAACGAAATCAAGACGAAATGAAACGAAATCAAAACGAAACCTGCCGGAAAGAAACAAAAGTTTCAGAATGTTTATATGGTCTATTTATTTTACTTAATATAAGATTTATATAATTCAAGCACCATAGGCAATTGTTTCGCTTCAAGCTCATACATAGGCGTCGGAAGGAAATTGAATCGTTTTAGACGTCACTGCTCGAGCCTCTTTATTGCAAACCACTCATTTCTTCCTCTAAAACTGCCTTGATGAAAAACATTATAAAAAGGATACACAAGATTCGGGTTAGAGTTACATGTATAATCTGATTGAACAATAAAACCAGACATCTCGGAATGGAATACTAAATACTCTAAGTCTCTGGTTTATCCTATGTTTTACATGTAAGACATTCGCAATACAACAGTACAGTGACTTTATTTCGACCCGTACATAATTGAGCCTTAACATGCATTCTCTGTAAGCACCAAAAAATCTTGGAAACGACATATCTCCGATTTTGATGAAATTTGCACCACAGGTGCACCATGGTACAAAACCAGCAAATATGGTGTTAGAAGTTTCCCACGTGCACCCGGTTGCCATGGAGACGGATCTATTGAATTTGGCCATTTTCGGCCATTTTTGACCAAACAAAAACATGAAAATTGAGGAAATATGAATGCATTTTTATCTTTATGTAATGAACTCAAAAATAAATCTTTGTATCATAAGAAAACATCAACTGTTAAGGAATACAGGGCATATAACCAGTTATTCCAGAATTGATCCCACTCTCAGAAAATGGTTCGGCAAATTAGCATAGTTTCTCAAAATGTGAAAAATGGAAAATTTGGCATTTTTTGAGAAATTAAGGTTAAATAAAAAAAATTGTCTACGGAAATTTTTCAAATCATATGCGTGTCGTCAAACGTCAGTATTAGTAGTGTCCCCTCATGAAAAAATTGGAGTGGGATCTCAATGCTATTTTTAGTACCATGTATCTAAAAATAGACATATTTCGGAAAAATCCAAAAAATGAAAGTTGGGCAGAGTTTAAGATGCCATTGCTAGTTAATTATGAAATATACTGTAAAAGTCAGTGTGCTAATGTCAGAGACTGGAAACCAATAACTTCCATGCATATTATTTTCAGGGATTTCCGTTTTCTATTTATAGCTTCAAATGCCTAAATATAGACATGTCTCATAAAATGATGAAAAATGTCAATTTTTCCTCATTTTGAAGCTCCACTGAATCATAAATAATAAAAATATGGATCTCTCCAATATTTCATCAATAAGAACAAGGAATAGTATAATATCTCACAAATAATTGAGGACAGGCTCTCATCTCTATAAATAGTACAAATGTCTAAAAATAGACACATATGAAATTAACTGTTTAATGTTGATTTTCCACTAATTCTCAAATTAGAGATGGAAAATTTACCGACTTACTGTCATTAAATGTAACTGATATTATGTGACTGACAAGAACAAAGGAACATTCAATGGAATGCAGCGTGATAAGCAGAGGATTCCATTTCTATTTATAGTAACACATGTTTAAAAATAGACGTAATGCAAAATATCGGGATAATGTCGTTTTTTGTAATTTTTAAAAAAAATTTTGGATGAATAATTGCTGACTATCTGTTTTTAATTGCTATTGGCATATGGTGACCAACAAGTAAAAGAAAGCTTTATATGAAATACAGAATGAGAAGCAGGGGTTTCCATTTCTATTTATAGTAACACGTGTTTAAAAATAGACGTACTGCAAAATATCAGAAAAATGTAGTTTTTTTGTACTTTCTTCTCAAATTTTGGATGAACAATTGCAGACTATATGTTTTTGACTGCTAATTGGCATATGGTGACCAACAAGTGAAAGAAAGCATATACAAAATACAGGTTTCCATTTCTATTTATAGTAACACATGTTTTAAAAATAGACGTGATGCAAAATATCGGAAAAATGTCATTTTTGTACTTTTTTCTAAATTTTTGGATGAATAATTGCTGACTGTCTGTTTTTAACTGCTATTGGCATATGGTGACCAACAAGTAAAAGAAAGCCTTATATCAAATACAGAATGAGAAGCAGAGGTTTCCATTTCTATCTATAGTAACATGAGTTTAGAAATAGACATACTGTAAACTATCGGAAAAATGTAGTTTTTTGTACATTTTGGATGAGCAATTGCAGACAATATGTTTTTACTGCTATTGACATTCAGTGACCAACAAGTAAAAGAAAGCATATACGAAATACAGAATGAGAAGCAGAGGTTTCTATTTCTATTTATAGTAACACATGTTTGAAAATAGACATGCTGCAAATTCTCGAGAAAATGTAGACTTTCGCACTTTTTTTCTAACATCAGGGATGGTCAAAGTGCAGACAAATGACATTTATTTGTTATTGACAGAATGTGACTAACGAATGTGAAAAAGCTTTAGCTAAAGTGTACAAGAATAATGTTTATGGGTATTTTTACATTTTTGCCTATAGTAACACATATTTACAAATAGTCAGGAAAATAAAGAATCATTCGTTTTTCTCAAATTAGGGATGTGAAATTTGCAGTCAAACTTTCATTAGCTGTAACTGACATGGCTAATTGTATTCGGCGCGCCAGCGCGTCCACCTCATTCCAATACAAATATCACAAAAGTATGTTCTCTCTGCATTAAAACACTCAAATGACAGCGATTTTCTTTATAAATTAAGCATTATCGTTTATATTCAGGTCGACAGGCCAAGCCCGATTGAAATTTTTTTGTTAGGTGGCTCCAGAAAATTTTCCCTAGGAGGAGGTGGCTCAAGAAAGAAAAAAAAAATGGTACTGAAAGAAGTTCAATTTTGTAACTCTAGAGCTTATTGCCATGAAAATCAAGTCTTTAAAAAGGAGATAAAACTCTAGGGTCATAACAAAATACTGGTGAATTTTTAATTTGTTACATTCATGTCGGAAGCAAACTAAAAGTGAAGAGGAGGGTCCAAACATGAAATCCTATTTCATGTGAGGGGGATTGAACTTCTTTAAGTAACATTTTTTTTAAACACTACCACTTACCCTTATTCGATTACACTGCAAAATGCCCGCTGAAAGGGGGGGTGGGGCTAAATCTACTTCCCATTATTTATTACCTATGTGATGTCTATCTTTGACCCCCCCCCCCCATTCCAACACCTACATGTATGTTTATACGTAAAATTTATGAAAACCAAAACAACAAATATTTTTAAATGCTTTAGTTAAAGTCTAGAGAAATATATACATGCATGTATAGAGAGAGAGAAATCGAAAGTAAGCCAACTCAAAAAATTTGGGAAAATTTCAGATTACTTTTGAACAAATTGTGGTAAGGCATGCATGGATCAAAGGGGATCTGGATCCCTGGAATATTCAACTTTATCATACCCCCCCAACGAAGTTTGGGGGTATATAAGATTCAGCTTGTCCGTCTGTCTAGCTGTCCATCTGTCTGTGCAAAAGTGTCCGATCCATATCTTCCTTAATGAGGAACATTAGAATCTACTACTCCACACAAAGATTGCCCATGATCTAAGTGTGTGTTATGACCTTGACCCAAGGTCATTTGGGGAACTTCAAGGTCACTGGAAGAAAAAAATTTATATTTCGTGTCCGGTCCAGATCTTTCTTATTGATAAACTTGGTAGGTTCCTATTTCACATAAAGATTGCCCATGACCTAAGATTGTGTCATGACCTTGACCCAAGGTTATTTAGGGAAGTTCAAGGTCACTTGAAGAAAAATTTCATAATACGTGTCCAGTCCATATCTTTCTTATGGATAAACTTGGTAGGTTCTCATTTCACACAAAAACTGCCCATGACTTAAGGGTGTGTCATGACCTTGAACCAAGGTCATTTTGGGAAGTTCAAGGTCACTGAAGAAAAATTTCATAATTCGTGTTCACTCCATATCTTTCTTATGGATGAACTTGTTAGGTTCTCATTTCACACAAAGACTGCTCATGACCTAAGAGTGTGTCATGACCTTGATCCAAGGTCATTTGGGGAAGTTCAAGGTCACTTGAAGAAAAATTTCATAATACATGTCCAGTCCATATCTTTCTTATGGATAAACTTGGTAGGTTCTCATTTCACACAAAAACTGCCCATGACTTAAGGGTGTGTCATGACCTTGAACCAAGGTCATTTTGGGAAGTTCAAGGTCACTGAAAAAATTTCATAATTCGCGTTCGCTCCATATCTTTCTTATGGATGAACTTGTTAGGTTCTCATTTCACACAAAGACTGCTCATGACCTAAGAGTGTGTCATGACCTTGACGCAAGGTCATTTGGGGAAGTTCAAGGTCACTTGAAAAAAAAATATTATTTGTGTCTGGTCCATATCTTTTTTATGGCTTAACCTGAACCTACTACTTCACACAAACATTGCTTATTACCTGATTTTCTGTGTTGACTTTGATCCAAGGCCATTAATGCAAGGTCAAGGTCACTGACAGAAAAAGTTTATAATTCATGTCCGGTCCGTATATTTAGTCTGATTTTTTTATTAGGATGTGCCTTCGTTTCATTTATGAAAATATTATGAGCAATTACATTTGCATTAAAAATGTTTTAACATTTCTCTCTTCTCTTAGAGTAAGATCCATTAAATATTCATAATTTAGCACCTCTGAAAAACCCAGCGGGGTATTTAGTCCCGTTTGGACAGTTCTAGTTTTAACTGACATAGTGATTTGAGACACCGGCTCCTAGGGAAAATTTTCTGGATCCACACTAACAAAAAAAATTCAATCGGGCTTGGGCTGTCGACCTGAATATAAATGATACTGCTTAATTTATAAAGAAAATCGCTGTCATTTGAGTGTTTTAATGCAGGGAAAACATACTTTTGTGATATTTGTATTGGAATGAGGTGGACGCGCTGGCGCGCCGAATACAATTAGCCATGTCAGTTA